CAAGATGTCTGATATTTCCGGGATCCTCTATGACCAGCTTCATGAATGTTATTTGACTAAGTATTCTGGGTCTTTAGCATAGTTGAGATAATTCTTCGTTGAGAATTGGTCTTCCCTTGACTACTTCTGCACATGTGTAGGTTATGAACAAAATATAACCGTTATAAAATGTTAAATAATAATAATAACGGTGATAGTCGGGATCCTGAGGTAGCTGAGGATCCTGGATATTTGGTGGATATTGGCCCTAACGATAATAAAATACAGAGTGAACACTTTCGACCTGCTAAATAACTTGAGAATACAAGTATTTGAAATACGTCAACAAAAATTGTGGGTGGGTTCTACATGTTTTTACACGAAGTAATTTTATAATCCAAAAGTGTTTTATAAAATTTCTCTGGTTGACTAGCTTGTATAAACACAACTTTTTATCGAAAGTATAAAAATAAACGGTTTTTAAAAGTGTAGTTAGATTCATTTAAAAATATATCATTTGCTCAAATCCAAATAAAACCATTTGTTGAATATATAAGAAAATCAAATGTATAACAAATATTTACGGTTCTCATGACCAAAAATTGCTTTTTATATAAAGATTTTAAATACCCTTTTATATGAAAGAAAGTCATATCACTTATTGTGAAAAATATAAAATATCTGAATTTACTCTTAAAACCTTGTACAAGCACTCGTATAGTATATATGTAAAACTCATAAGTTTCAAATTTATAAACTTTGTAAATTCGTGTCGTAGTATTTTTTAAGTATTATCTTACTTAATTTAGGAAACGACATTTAACCAGCGGAGCAAACTCCTCCCATATAAAAATTATGTTTTCGTATAAAAAAAGGGTTTATATAAATAACTTATTAATTATAAGTTATTAAACTTTCATTAGCCGGGTTGTGATATTAATTAAGTATTATACAACTTAATTTCTAATAATATTAACACTCATCACTTTGAGTCACAATCTATCTTACTACATATAATCTCTTTCAACTAGTACCAATGAACAAAAACCTCATACAATCCAATATCGATTCTATCTTATCATTTTGAGTCACAATCTATCTTACTACATATAATCTCTTTCAACTAGTACCACTGAACAAAAACCTCGTACAATCCAATATCGATTCTATATGGTGACAAGACAGACTCAGGATCTATATTGAGGTCATAACCGAATCATGAAAAACGCCTCTCCGCTAGCACTTGCAAGTTTTAGTGCTGAAAGTTCACACCCATGATTATTTATTGTCGTGGAATTTATCGTTTAGGAAACGCCAATGCTTGTTTCAACTCGTCAATCGATGGTTGTAGCTAGCAACTGATGGCGGGATGTCAACCCATGTAAGTCTCCAATACAGAACTTATACCTGACGTTCCTCGTTCCATAAGATTAACGATTATGACACAGAGGACTTTCCGCTAAGACGTATGGTCTTAGTATTGTACAAACATAACCCATGCAGCTTAGGATATAATCCTAACTCATAAAGCTTTTAGAACAAACATAGCTCATATAGAGCGTCCCGTGGGTGTGATGGATCCTAAGAATGTGTCTAGGCATCCTAATCCTAAATTCTCCGTTATAAGTATATCGAACGCCTACAATATTTATAATTTACATGATTAATGCAATACAATATTTCGCAAATAACGACTCTTAAGTCGTGAATTCGATCATGTTATTTATTGCAATAAAAATCCATAACTTAATAAATTGAGTTGTATTTATATAATTAATATAAAAATATATTAATACATTTCCTTTCATTTTTACACGACAATATATATTAAAAGTTCAATTTGAATAATTTTATCTATTAATTATACATTTTCATAATCTGAGTGTTTCCTCAGTGTATGACAATGTACTTCATTTTATAATCGAATAATATTTTTGGTCATTTGTATATTGTTTCATGCTTCCCGTCAATACTTCAACTTATACATGTGAATTCATCATTTTGTGATTTACAATACCAACTTGTGTTGTCATAGCAATTTACATATAATTTTGTGATTTTTGATATTATTAAGTAATATATCACAACGAGGGATATTATGTCATTTATAACATTCTACTATAACTTTTGCGATTTATTGAAGATCTATACATTTTCGATTTGTTATTTCAAATGCATTTGACCAATATCAAAATATGATGCTATTTTAACGTATAACTAATGTAAATCGTCAAAACTTAATTAGACACACATATATTGTCTCATAAATATTAATACAATAAAAGATGGGTTGTAGAAACTCACTTTTGTAGTGTGATCTTGATCCCGGTTCATTTTGGTGAAACTTTTCGTGAATAACTGCGAGGTCACATTTCATGGACTTTAAAAGAGTTCCAGTGGCTACTTTGGAAATAACTCAGCAAAAGGTGGTTTACTTAGTAAATTAATTAATCAAAAGTGACCATCTTTGATCAATCTTTACAAATAAGGGTTGTTTTGGCATTACTCAATATTTGTAGGGGCTGAATCGGCCAATAGGATCAAATAAAAAGAATTAGCGCTTTTGTGCCCTCGTCTGATAAATCGAAGGAAATGGAACATGAATGAAAGCGAACAGATACACGAACGAAGCACACAAGCGCGTCCGATGATTCATCTGCCGAGAAGGAAATAGGAGAACGGGGGCAGCTTATGCTCTCAGCGACGGGAAAAGGCACCTCCGGTCGTTAGTTTCCTCTGATCGTGAAGGCTAATCACGAACGAAGCAGTGACAGGGAAGGCTCGGTGGTGGAAGACCCGATGAGGAGAAGAGCACCTCCGGTTCCTTATTGGTTTGTAGAGGGGGAGTAACGAAAGCGGATCCTGCGCTTCTTCTGTCTCGGAAGGAAGGTGCGAAGGTGGGGAATCAAAAGGGGGCTTCCGTCTCCGATGTTTGCTCCGGGGAAACACCCACTTCGGTCGGTTTTGCTCTCGGTGGTTTTAAAGGTACGTGGACGGCGGCTGCTCCGGCGGTTCCCTGATCTTCTTCTTTCTATTTCTTCTTCTTCTATTTGTTATTTATTTATTTATTTATAGAACTCATTGGGAATTGGATGTTTGGGTTTGCTTTTGACATATATCGATATAGAGAAAGGATGTTCGGTTTGTTTCTTGTGTTCACAGGGTTGTTTGTGGTACTGGCACTCGACAGAAGTGGGATGAGGAAGAGGACTGCCGTGGCTGTCGCCTCTTCTTTTGGCCGGTGGTGAACAGGGGGAAAGGAGGGCAATGCTGTAGACATCGATCAAGAGGTAGAAGAGAGGCTGTCGCCTCCTTGTTCTCACAGGGACTCAACACACCTCCTGTGTGTTTCTGAACAGCCAATCTGTGAACAAAAATAAGAGAGGGGTCGAGAGCTCTTGTGGGAATAAGGTGAGACTGATTAATTTCTGCAATATGTGATCTTCACTCAAATTTTGGAAGACTTTTTGATGGATTTGTGGTACTTGGAAAATTTTGGAAGGATTTTGAGAGTACAATACATTCATTGATTCATGTGTGTATAAGTATGATGTATTGATTGTGTATTTGTTTGTATAAATAGAATACATGGGTTTGTGTGACATTGAAGGGAGTGAAGGGTTGATTTAGTCTTATGTACTTGCTTGAATTTCTATTGACCTTGGGTGTGCACTTCAAATCCTATAAGATTGTATGTATTTTTGGTTGTATTCCCTTTTTATATACTTGTGTGTGTGTGTATATATATATATATATATATATATATATATATATATATATATATATATACACTTAAGGTTTGTAGATACCATTTCTTGATATACTTAATATATATTCTTGTGTTATGAGTTTGTTTCATAAATATGTGCAATATATATGTATAACTCGAAACCCATACGTTAAGAAATGTTAGAATTGTTAATTTATTAAATTTTGATCTTTTTATAGCCCCTTTTTGATATATATATATATATATATATATATATATATATATATAGAGAGAGAGAGAGAGAGAGAGAGAGGGAAAAGATACAATGTTGTACAATATAAGCTTGATAAGGTTGTACGTTGTGTTGTAATGTGTATACCTCTTAAATTTCAAGAAATTGTCAATATATATATATATATATATATATATATATATATATATATACACACACACACACACTAGGAATTGGTTGCGGATAAATTTAAGTTAAAAGCTTATCTTTTAACTCCGTTAAATGATTTTTATTAGAGTTAAGACCGTTTTTTTAAGTGATTTTGTATACGAATGTGTGCAAATCTTCTATTTTTAGCATTTATCTGCTTTCTAAAATCATAACGTAGAGACGTTTGTAGTGTTAAATCTATTAAAGGAATTTCTATCATTAATATAATCTAAATTTCTTTGAAGTTGTTTAATAGCAATTCTGCAATCTGTTATTTGAGAAATCATGAACTTATTAGGTTCTTGATTGGCTAATACTTTGTTACTACTCGTTTGAGTTGTTATATAATTTTATCCTTTTTATAAAAGATTATTTATTATAGAGTTTATAGTTTGTGAAATTAAAAAAAAAACCTCTAAAAAGGATAGTTTTGTTATAAATTAAAAAATAGTTTTCATACCTTGCTCGTGCGTGAGGCTCTATGATCTCTTCGTCAATCTTAGTGTCGATCGTTCCTTCTTCCCTACGTCCTTCTGACTAGCGGTACTTGTTAGTACTAGAGCATTACGACGAATAAGACTTCAGACTTCAAAAATACAGACAGTTTCACAAAGGATGGATTAACAAAACTTCTCTTATTTATAAATGAACTAAAACCCGAAGGTTTTTACAATTTCAAATTATAAACCCAATATGGGGTTTTACTAACACATTTGCAGATTTCAATAGGAATGCATAAGGCTCTCGTATTTTCACTCTGCCTACAAATGAAAGCATAACTCTCTATTTATAGAAGCATAGAGAGGATATGATACAAGTGTTTTACGTTGCTGACCAAATGATCCACTAACTACATTATTGTGTAGTGGCTTATCTTTGGAAGGCTAAGAATAGTTGTTCATTGGCCGGAGAAATCTCTTTGCTGTATTTGCTGTAGATTAAGGTCTTCTCATTAGCATCATATCCATTGACGAAGATCTTGTCATCTGTTGAAAAACTGAAAACCTTATTGATAAAGATTTCAATTCTAGATTTTGCTAGCTGGAGGATATAGGCTCTTTCAAGCTTTTCTTCCATGGCTTTGCTGGGCATATAGGTTTCTTGTTTGCAGATGCCTATCTGTACTAAATGATGAGGATGATATTTTATTTCATCCTTATCATTCCAGTATGGGATGCTACTGTTGAACTTTAGAAAAATGTCTTGAACCTTTTTGCTGCATCTTGTTCTGAATGTTTATATTGCTTTTGTAAAGATTTTAGAGAAAAGATTTATTTCCTGTAGGTTTTGACTAGGATAGATGGTTTTTACAAATCCTAGTTGAAATGCTTCATACACTTGTAAAGAGTTGGCATTTTTGTAGAAATTGTAGTGGCTTAAATTCTTCCCGTCAATAGTGGAGAATTTTTCTTCTAGAAAATTTTGTTCCGTTGTACTTCGAGCATACTCGAAGTCTTTTATCTTGATTTCTACTGGCAGGTCAAATGTGACTTCTTCAGTATTTTTGGGAGTTCTTCTTGGAAGGCTTCCAATAACGGTTTTTGAACTTTTGGTAGAATTTTAAGGCTAATTTGAATGTGTTAGGCCTTAAGGTCTCTGCTACAGTAATAAGTTGTAGTTCTGAGCATCTTTAAGATCTTGTGTATTGATCTACGACTATCTTGGCTTCAAGAAAGTTATTAAAAATTTTATGTTTAACACTTTTAATTCCTTTTGTTGCCTTTTTGGTGATATTCTAGTCCTCAAATATACCAGCGTTGGGTCCATTGAATACAATGTAGTATGGTTTTGAATTTTTATTAGGAATTTGTATCAATTCCCCTGGGATTTGAATTCCCTTATCAGGTGATCCTGATCATGAAGGTGTACCTTTAGTTTTTAGGATTTGAATTTTCCCATTAGGTCTTAGATTAAAGTCTAAGGGTGTAACCATCGTTATTAGAGTTTGTACTCCTATCCAGATTCTTGGTAAATCCAAAACCTTTAATGGATTTGTTGAGTCTTTACTTGGAGACGTTTGCTCAGAACTAGATGTTTCTTTTATTTTTATAGGAGGTGAAACATTGACCTCTTGTTGTTCGATGTTCTTTTGAACACTTACAGTTTCTTCTTGACTTATAGGAAAGGAGGGAGAAGAAAGTTCCTTTTTATGTTAAGACATAAATAGTTTTACAAATTTTAATTGGTTTATGACGAATTCCAATTCTTGCTCAAGAAGAGCTTGTTTGAGCATAAACTCTTGTTCTTTCTACATTTGAGAAAGGCTATGTACCTGTAGTCCAAATTATGGATTGAGGTTAAAACCTCTTGGGTCATTAGACCACCAAAGTATAACACCGAATGGCTTTGATTCCTACATGACAAGAGTATCAAACCTGATTAGTTTTTCTGTTGGAATTCTCAAGTTGAGAATTCTACAAAGATATTCTTTTCTTCTTTAGTATGCTCTACTTCGAAGCTATATTTGGAAAACCATATTTTCCATACAACTAATCGACCTTGTTTGTTATCTCCAGAAATGTTATTTCTTAAAAAATAAGTAAAGTTTTTGTTATCTGCTCTTACTATAAAATTTACAGGTGTTAAATAGATTGAAAACTTTTCAACTACTCTTTTAACGATAATATATTCTTTTTCATTATTATGATAATTTCTTTCATTATCCTTAAAAGATCCTGAGGTGTATCAGCAAATTAATTCTTTGGATTGATCCTCAGAATTTATTGCTTTAAGGATTCCTCCCAAACAATTATCTGAAGCATTAGTTTTAATAATTAATTTATCATCTACATTAGGATGATATAGAGGTGGAAATTCTTTTAGGTTCTTTTTTATTTTTGCCATATAGCTAGAATCATCTTCAGACCATGACTAAAGGACATCTTTCTTAAGTTTGCATTGTAAGTGGCTTCTTATTTTTTCAAGTTTAGGAATGTAGTCTGAAGCATATGTTAAGATTCCTAAAAATATTTGAACTGTATTTTATCTTCAATTTTATTAGGAAACTTATGAATATTTTCCAAAATATGATTTTGAAGACGACGACTTCCTTGTTCTATTTCTAACCCAAGAAAATTTATTTTACTTTTAAAAACTTGTGCTTTCTTTTTGGAAAGAATGATTCGAAGAAGATCACATTTTTTGAGAACAACTTGCTACATTTAAGAAATGTTCATTTTCATTGTTGCTGAATATGAGGATATCATATACATAAACAAAACAAACTTTTTCAAAAGATCTGAAGTTATTTTACATATGTCTTTGAAATATGGATGGAGCGTTTTTTAGACCGAAGGTACAATAGTCCATTGGTAATGTCCTTGGGCATATGTGAAAGCTGTTAAGAGTTGTGATTCAGCGTCCAGTAAAACTTGCCAAAAGTCAGATTTACAGTCGAAAGAACTGAATATTGTTTTTCCTCTAATAATGGTGAGCAGTCCATCTTTATTACAGAGATTATGGTTGTCACCTATAGTTGCTTTGTTAATATCTTTGTAGTTAACTACCATTCTTTTCTTTTTGTCACACTCCGAAATCGAAGGCGGAAACGTTCCGGGGCGGAGGACGTCATGAATATCGCAACTAATGTACATAGTAAGCAAAGTAAACAACCATTACATTACATTACATATTGAAATTTACATTTGTCAAAATTAAAGTTGTACAGTGTTATACATATGTATATATAAACAAAAGCAAGAAGTGTCTTCGATGCACTCCGTCTTCGCAAAAATGGATCATTGGGTACCTGTCTAGCGTGGACCTGAGAATACAAGCAGTTTGAAAAGCAGCATAAAGCTGGTGAGTTCATAAGCGGTTTTGTTTTCTGAAAATGTACGAGTTTCCTTTTAGTTTCTGAAAATGTACGAGTTTCCTTTTAGTTTCTGAAAGTGTTACGACCCAAGAAAATCCCATATTTTCTTAAAAGTAAAGTTTAGTTGTTCTGTTATGTTACACTGTTCTGGTTACAAGTTGTGATTACCCCAAGAAAATCCTATATTTTCCTAATGTGAAAGATGAGTAATGTTATCGATTCAGAAAGTAACGGACAAGTATCTACCATACTTAAAGTGTGTGTGCGAAGTTTCCTGATAGTTTGGTTACCTTTAAGTGTACATTAGTTTTACAATGTATATAAAAGTAATAAATAAGTATAAAGTTTTCATAATCTTGATTGCGAGTTCTATAACCATACTACAGACTAGATTTGACTCGAGTCGGGGCAATGTCTTCTATGACTTTTGTCACCCTTGAACCTTTCGGTTCGGCTATAGCTAGCAGTCAGGTGCGGGATAGTAAGTCCTGTATAGATCTATACACTCAAGTCACGCTCTCCCCTTTTCGGAGATTCTGGTTACGGGGGAGGTCCTCCACTTTCATGCCTAGGAAGTGTTGCAAAGGATGTGTCTCCAATCTTTAAGATTCATGAATTTAAAACTGAAATTATCAATACGGAAATCCTGTTCTATTGGTGCTATACTCTCGTGTCTAAGGGGAGTACTAACTAGGACTTGACTATGTTCCAATGATACATGTCCTTCACACTCGTGTCTAGGGGTGTTTTATTAAGGATAATACATAAGTTCTATCTACTATCCTCTACTCGCGTATCTCTGTGGGGTGTTACCGAGGAGAAAACCATGTTCAATTGTTATGCTTTTAATTGTTATCATGTGAGAAAATATTTGTGAAAATATAAATACAACAGTTTATAAAGTAATTCGCAAATAACATGAGAATGTATCCTGTAGGTTAAAACGTTTGTTTGTTACAACTGTTAGTGTTAAAAGCTGATATAATATGAAACACAATGTATGTAAAACCAATTTTGAGTACAAGTATCACTTGTACTTTGCTTGTATTCCCCCTGAAAACAGTGAAAAACATTGAAAATGGGTAGGGGTATGAACTAACCAGACGAGAAAACGTGGCGATTTGAACGCTATGTGTCGGTTCGGGGCTTGATAACGTGTGAGATTCCTATGTAATATGAAATGGTATACAAATGTATCTAATTAGACTTTAAAACACTAATTAGATTTGATTATACACTCCAATGAGCAAAAACACTTCAAATCAAGTGTTTAGAGTGACCCGGGTGACATCTACGGACGTGTATGGCTTGGAAAAAGAGTTGGGACTTCAAGAGTAAACTCCTTAGGGAGTTTACAGCCCTAAAACCCTAACCATATGAGTTCACGGCCGTGAACTCATGTATATGTGGTTTTATGGTGCCAAAAGGTCAACTAGCACATGGAAAGGCTTGCTATGATTAAATCTAAGGCATAGGAATGAGTTTTACCACCAAATGGACCATCAAGGGGAGTTTACGGCCCTAAAAAAGGAGTTTACAGCCGTAAGCTCCTATACCCCCCTTGAATTGTTGATTTAATGGCCTTAGACTAATCATATGTGATTCTAACAATTTATACAAGCCCTTGAATGAGATTTAAGCATCATATGACTTGTGTAAGTGGGTTCACGGCCCATGAACTCATTCTTGGGGAGTTTACGGCCGTGAACTCTCCATGGGGTTGTTTCCATCTAGTTTAAGGCCCTTAAATCCATTGTGGTTGGTTCTAGAATTTATTCCAAGGTCATTGGTGTGTTTAAGTGGCTTTTAAACACTCAATTGTGAGTTTACTCCCCATGAATATGAGTTTACGGCCCAAGCTTGTTCTTGGGCAGTAAACTCACGTTTACTCCTCAAAAATCATGTTTAAGGTGTTCTAAGTCCGAATTGGTAAGCCATTAAGTCATATCTAAGTCCCAAAGTTGGTTTGGAAGGGTTTAAAGGCTCAAAAACCCCTTAAATGTGTGTTTACGGACCAAGCATGTTCCAGGGTCGTAAACACATGAAAATGGTCCTAATTGATTGTTTTAACTCGGATTTGAAGGCTAAAGGTGCTATACAATGAGTTAGGGAAGTTACCTCAAGGATTTGAAGCCTTAAATTGGTGTTTTTGAACCTTGAATTTGGATTGAGGAGAGAGGTTAGAGAGATAGTAGTGAGAGAGAGAAAAAGCTTCAAATGGAAGCTTAGATCACTTTAAATAGTGTCTAAGTTTTGGACACAGTGGAATTCTTCCCGATACCGATGTTAAACGAGGCTTTTGGTCGCACCCGATTAAGATGTCGTAATCCGATATGGTCGAAACTAGAATGTTTCCGATTACTAATATGGAGTGATCAAATGAGTTCTAATCATGTTTAGACATCCATTAAGTCATAATAGAAGTCTCCAAAATAATGACTTAATTTATAACTTAACGGAAACAATTCGAAAAGATGAATTTTATGGCCGGAAACGGGTTACGGCGATGGAGTAAACTTCGGGTTGTCACACTTTTCTCTCCTTATTTCTGCATCATTTTCAACAAGCAAAGCGGGAGATCTGTGAGGAGATTTACTAGGAATGATGACCTTTATTTCAAGTAGTTCGTTGATTTGTTTACTAAATTCTTCGACGTCTTCAGGACTATATTTCATATGTTTAACTGTGATGAAAGTGGTCGGGTCGATTAATTTTATGTTTGCTTTCATCCATTGTTTAGACTTTATTGGGTCTATAGGATTTTCTGAGCAAACCTTTTCAAGTAAACTTTCAATTTTTAAAAATTTTTCTTGGTTAAGTAAAAATTTAAATTCTTCCTTATTCTCCCCCGTTTTAAAAGGCAAGGTTTATTTGCTTTTGCTTTGAGAGATGTTGACAGGTTCTGTTTTTTCAAATTTTGAATTAATTTTCATTGATTCTAACAATCCAGATTTTCCATTTCTATAAGTGTTTGTGATTTTATCAACAATGATTTGAGCACCATTGTTGTGGAAAGTAACTGTTTTGAGATTTGTACAAGGGGTCTATACAAAAGACATAAGTTATTTCCTAGAATGAAATCTATTCCACATTCTTGTTGGTATACAGAGGGGATATGGAATATTTCTCCGGCAAGTCTTATCTATAAATCAACACATTTTTTTTATAATTATAGTTTCGTTTGTTGTAGAAACCTTTATAGGTTTTGGATTGTTAATATAATGTTCTTTTGGAATAACATATTTACTTGCGATACAAAGACCGATTCATGTATCAATGTAACAATTTAAATCAATTTGTTTATATCCGGTGAATCTAAATGTACCTTTAACATAGATTGAATTAGGATTTGTGATAGTTAGTATCACATTTTTAGAGTTCATAACCTTTGAATCAGTCTGAACTGTAGATGAAGAAGATGATGATTCATCAAGAGGTTCTTCAATCAATATGTAGACAATTTGTTCATCTTGAAATTGCTCTTCTATAGGCCTAAGGTCCA